TTGGTACTGGTACAGTTAGTTAAAGGCACATAGACCAAAGAAACATAATTGAGAAACCAGAAATGGACCTCTCTATCTTTGGTCAACTGATATTTGATAAGGAAACAAACTTATCAAATGGGGAAATGACAATTTCTTCAACAAATGATCCTAGCAAAATTGGACTTCCACCTGCAGGAAGCTGAAACAAGACCCACATCTCACACCATACAAAACATCGACTCAAGGTGGATCAGAGAGACCTGGGAGTAAAGCCTAAAACCTTAAAGTTCATCAGAGACAAACTGAAACCAAGCCTAGAAGGCCTAATCTACAGTATAAAAATGCTGAAAGATACAGCCAGAAATGTATATTGTGGAGAGGATAAAATTGATGAGTGGGACTTTCTAAAGATTAAATCTCTGTGCTCATCAAAAACTTTTCCCAACAGGGTGAAAAAAAATCTACCGACTGGAAGCAAACATTTGGCAGTATCAACTCAGACAAGGGTCTCATAACAAAAGTTTATGTAAAACTCCTGGGCCTTCAGAAGAAAAAGACTGATCACCCAATTAAAAATGGAGGAAAGACATGGAAGGACTTTTTACAGGGGAAGATGTTCAGATGGCCAACAAACACATGAAGAAATGCTCAAAATCACTGGCTATAAGAGAGTTGCAAATCAAAACCGCAATGAGATACCATCTCATCCCAGTAGCAGTGGCAAAGTTTAGTAGGGCAGCAAGCAGTAATGTTGGAGAGGATGTGAAGAGGTAGGAATTCTCATGCACTATTGGTGGGATTGTAAAATGGTACAACCACTCTGGAAGGCAGTTTGGCATTTCTTCAAAAACTTGAACATAGAAACTCAGTATGACACTGCTTAGAATATATCCCAAGGAAATTGGAACTGAGACACAAATGGAGATTTGTTCACCAATGTTCACAGCAATGTTATTCACCCTTGCAAGAACAGGGAAACAGCCCAAATGTCCAACCATAATAGAAGTTGAGAAATTATGGTACATTTACACAATGGAACACTATACAACACTCAGGAGTAACAATTTTGAAAAATACTACATAACTTGGGAGAGACTGGAGAGCATTATGCTGAATGATCGAACTCAGTCTTATATGGACAAAGACCGCATAAGACCATTATCACAAAAATTGAGGGACAATGAGTAAAATGTCTATTTGAGTCCAAGGGGGGAAGTGGAGAGACACAGAGGGGTGAGGGTGAGTAAATGAGAAATCAAAGGGTCGCACAATTTGATGGATGAGGGAGGGGTAAAGGAAATCGGAAAGATCTTGTGGAGACTTGAAAAGACAGGGTAATGGTGGGCATAATTCAATGGGGATTAATTTTATAAAACACTAAGTATGGGAATGTCGGAGACAGTGCGATTGGCACAGGACAGAGCAGAGTTTAGGGCTGTTGTACATAGGGTTGCTATGGGTTGCAAGCGACTCGACAGCACATAACAACAACAACAACAAAGTATGGAAATAATTGTATGAAATACAATGTGAATGAGGGAAAGTGTGAAATAGAATATATATTAATTTTGTATACAAACCAATATAAAATAAAAACAGGGGGAAGAGGGTAAAGATGGCCAAAGTTTGTCTTATGGTAGGTTTTGTAAAAAATAAAAGTAAAAACCAAACCAAACAAACAAACAAAAAGATCTAATACTGAAGCCTCTCAACGTCAAGGAAACAAAAATTCTCACTACTGGACCAATAGACAACATCATGATAGATGGAGAAAAGATTGAAACTGTCAATGACTTCATCTTACTTGGATCCACAATAAATATACTCGGCACCAGCAGTCAAGAGATCAGAAGATGTATTGCACTGGAAAATTCTACAGTCAAGGACCTAGCCAAATTATTGAGGAGCAATTATCTCAGACTATGGTCTTTTCAATCATTTGCTATGCATCTGAGAGCTGGACAATGAATAAGGATGATAGAAGAAAAATCAATGTGTTTGCCTTATGGTGTTGGAGGAGAGTACTGACTATTCCATCGACTGTCAAGAGAACAAACATATATTTTGGAGAGGGTGAAGCCAGATTGCTCCTTGGAAACAAAGATAGTGAGGCTTCATCTTGTATACTTTGGAGATGTTGCTAGTAGAGATTGTTCCTTGGAATCATTCTTAGAAAAGTGGCGGGATAGTGAAGGAGGTGAAGATCCTCAACCAAGTGGATTGACACAGTGACTGCAGCAATGTGTGTTAGAGTTTATGAGGTTGACACAGGACAGGAAAGGACAGGACAGGGTTCAGATATATTGTTTACAAGGTTGCTATGAGTCATACTTGACGTGACAGCACCTAATACTAAATATTTCTACGCTGTCTGTTGTTGTTGTTGTTAAGTGCCATAGAGTTGTAAATGACTCATAGTGACCTTATGAACGAAGATCTGAACATTGTATAACTAACATCCTTTCTCCAGGTTCATAGGGTTTCTGGAGGTAAGCTATTTCAGTAGTGGATGCCACTCCTGCTTCCAAGCATGTTTTAATCTGGGAGCTCCACCAAACACTGTCCAGCATAGGTAACCATTATCACATTTGACACATCAGTGTCCCAGTGTTCAGCTTCACAGCAACCACAAGTTACTTCCGTACAGCAAGTGGACAGAACAGTGCTATACACTTAGAAGAATGTTTGACCAAAAACAATTAAAACCAGGCCTAAGGGCTACAGATTAAAATCACCCACCTTTGGCTTGGTAGCATAACTTTCTGACCACTAGGCCAACACTGCTCTCTCTATGACTCATAGCAATCCTATGAACAACAAAGCCAACTCTTGCCTTAACCCACACCATCCCCACAATTTGAGACACCCTAGTCACCATATCAATCCACCTTGTTAAGGATCTTCTTTTCTTCTCTGACCTTCCACTTCTCTCAACAAGAGAGAACTCCAAGGACTGGACCCTTAAACTATTGTTTATTGTTGTTACGTGCCTTTGAGTCATAGAGGACTCAAAGCGACTCTGTCCTATATCCTTACTATTTATCAGCATAGACTTCATGGGAATGGGTTTGGTTTGTTTTTTGGGTTTTTTTTAATCATCCATTGTACACACATGCATGAGTACACATATTTCAATCTTAAATTCTAATTGTTCATTGCTAGAATATAAAGAGGCAGTTAATGTTTGCATACTAATTTACTTCATAATGGCAATATATTGATAAGTTCACTTCTTAATTCTCTAAAAAAATTTTGTAGAGCCCAGGTTGCTGTTATTAGGTGCTCTTGAGTTGAGCACAACTCATAGTGACCCTATGAACAACAGATCTGAAACCTGTTTTCCTGTGCTGTCTTCATCATCTCTGTCATATTTGAGCCCATTGCTATACAACCTTTACAATTATCTATATAGATGAACATGTTATCTGCAAAAAACTCCCCAGAGTTACCGCTTTTCAACAGAACTTTATGGAAGATTTCTTTTTTCAGTTCTGTAAAATCAACAGCAATATTCTGTTGCACAAGAAGCTCTTTGATCCACCTAAGGAAAGGTCCTAAGATGTCTGGGCGCCCCTTGCAAGAGGAACCATCCACTGCCACAACTCTTTCCAAGTTCTCAAAATGCAACTGTCTGTAGAGTCTATATTTATGTAATGACTTAGCAAAAAAGACTACTGTGGAATTTTTTTTAACTTTCTTTTTCTAATTGAGTTACTTCATTTCAAAACTTATATAGATTTTTTTTTTCATTGTTGTTGTGTACCATCAAGTTGGAAGCGACCCATAGCTGATACTCTCGCGGTTTTTCAAAGGCAGTTAAGCACACGGTAGGAGAAAAGGAATATAAACAATTTTAAAGGTATAAGAATTAGAAAAGAAAAAACTCACTCCCCCTGGCCTCTTCCTGTAAAACTCAAGCATTTTCTCAAACTCATTGCCCTCTAGATAGAACCGGTTAATAGCTAATCCTCCAGGAGTTTTCAGGATGCTGCAAATCGCAGGGAGATTGCCCATCTTTCTCCCACATCGCTGCTAGTGGCTTCAGACCACCAGAGAAGTGTCGCCTTTGGGTCAGCACGGCAACTCTCTATAGATTACACTACCAGGTCACGCACTTTAGGGGCTGCAAAAAAGGTGGCTGGACATTAGTAGCTGCGAGGGTAGGGGTAAAGGATGTGTTTGAGGAGCAGAGGGGATGAAAAAGGAAATCTCCAAAGTAGAAACAGAAGTGGTCTTAGAGCAAACGCTGTAGAGCAAACGCTGCCCTGCCTTTCCCGGTCAGGTAGAGAACAAGAAAGAGGGAAGAAGGGTTGGCCGCCCCGAGGGTGGTGGTGTTACGGGAACTGCGAGCAGCAGGGAGAACGCGCACCCACTACCCACCTCCAGGGGGAGGGCTAGGCCACTGGGTGGGGGCGGAGCCGCAGGGCGCCGTAGCGTCACGTGACTGGACCGCCCGCCCTGCGCCGCCCCTTCTTGGCAGTGGTTCGCGGCGGTTGCTCAGAGCTCTCGGGATAGGGGCGGCCCAGGGACCGAGTGACCAGGTGGAGCAGGTACAGAGCCCCGAGGGGTCCTCAGGGCTGGGCTGGGCTGGGCTGGGCTGGGCTGAGCAGGGGTCGAGGGGCTGCAGACAAGCGGGCTACACACCTCACCTTCCTTGAGCTCAAGCAGCCCTGGGAAGAGCAGCGCAGATCCCGCAGCATCAGGTCCAGGCTTGTGACCCCACGGCCCGCCGAGAACTGATGTGTGTGTGTACGGGATGGGGGCTGTCGGCCCTGCCAGAGGCAAGGCCGGGGGCGACGACCCTTGGGAAACTCTTGCCTCTTCCCTCAGTGCAGGCTTCCCCCAAACCCCGCTCTGCCCCCTTCGTGCAGAAAATGGTGGGCAGCGAGGGTGGGCGGCCAGCAGGGTCCCGCGGCGGTTGTGGGGGTGCCAAACGCTCGACTCACAGCCGGCCTCACTCCGTCCACCCCGGCCTCTTCAGGTCTGAGGGTCGCGGCGGCGCGCTCGGAGGCGAGAATCAGGAGGAGGAGGACGACGCTGCCCGGATAGGCCCAGGTTAGTGAACAGAATGGTAGGGGGCAGAGGAGTCTTAGAGCCCAGCCTGAGATGTCTGGTCTCCCCACCGCCCCGTCCTCCATTTTGGTGCTGTGGAAGGCTTTGGAGCTGCAAGAAAAAATGGTGGGCTTGAGGAAAGGAGGGAAAGAAATGAGAGTCCCCTAGGGGGCGATGTAGTTGCTCAGGTGAGAAAAAGGAAAGTTAAAAAAACAATTGTCTGTCCAAGGCTCTAAATGCCCAGAAGTGTGTAGTAGGGCCTCTGTCCTAGGTGCTGATTGCTCCGCATCGCTTTTAGTGCCTTCTCTTGCCTTTGTCTCCTAGGAATAATGGATTCCAAAGAGGAACAAGCAGGGATGCATCTCAGTGTGGAAAATATCCACGATGAATATGAAGAAAAGCACGAAAAGGAGCAAGACGTTGATGAAGGAGAGCCTTTGGTGCTCCCTTTGGAAGTTGGTGAATACCATATACCTAGAGGAAATCGTAGGCGACCCAGAGTTATGCAGCCCATTCACCAGTATAGATGGGATATGATTCAGAGGCTTGGAGGGCCTCAGGCCAGGATGAGAGAGGAAAATGTAGAAAGAATTGGGGAGGAGATGAGGGAGCTGATGGAAAAACTGAGGGGTAAACAGTTGAGTCATAGTCTGCGGGCAGTTAGCACTGACCCCCCCCACCGGAACCATCTGGATGAGTTTTGCCTTATGCCATGAGTCTTGAGGGTTTTTCCCACCTGATATTAATAGAGAGAGACCCCTGCTTATTAAACTTACATGTATGAGGTACCTTTGTTGTAAATCTTTTGATGTTACTTGTTTCTGACGGGTCTTCCTTGACCAGCTTCTAACTGGATGTTGTGTGTTTTTTACCCAGTCCGTAAGTTTCTGTGAGCAGGGCAGTTTTACCTATTGCTTGGAAACATGCTTACTGTATATTGTGAAGTTAATAAAGCAATTTAAGAAAAAAAGTCAAAAACCTTCTTTCTTTTTATTTAAAATTTAACATTGATATATAAACTAAGAATATATAAAGTATATCTTTATATATTTTATATAAAATATACTGTTTATTTGTCTTTGACTTATGGGTGGTGGTTATTTTATTACTTTTTTTAGCTTGTTACTTTTACCATGTTAAAAACGATCACACCAAAAAAAAATGAATACAGATTAGAAATGTCATAGATGGCATAATAGTGTGAACATATGTATGTGTGTGTATATAGTATTTATCATTGTTGCTATATATAATTTCTGGAGCAGCTCAAATGCTGCTGTCATAAATTGTCATTTTCACAATATTGAGCCTTCCTATCCTTATACATTGTTGATAAGATTGAAAAATGGTGCAACCACTTTGGAAGGCAGCTTGGAATTTCCTCAAAAATGTGAACACAGAAATTCTGTATGACTCAGCTATTCCACTACTTGAAATATACCCCATGAAAATGAGAACTGAAGCACAGACAGAAACTTGTACACCGGTGTTCATAGCAGCATTATTCACCATTGCAAGAACATGGAAACAGCCCAAATGTCCAACCACAATGGAAGGGGGTCTAGAAATTATGGTACATTCACACAATGGAATGCAATGCAACACATGGAAGCCATGATTTTGTAAATGACTATATACCTTGGGAGAGACAGGAGAACATTACGCTAAGTGAACTAACTCAGTCCCATAAGGACAAATACTGTATAAGACCATTATTGTAGAAGGAGTTTGAGAATTCAAGGAAAGGGAGATACTTAATAACACATTTTGATGGGTAGAGGGAGGGGTAGGGAAAGATCCTGTGTGAAAACAATGTATATGAACTTTTTAGTTAAGCAGTATAAAAAAAAGAATATTGTCACATTCACTAACTAAACAAATTTTACTTTCATTTTAAAAGACAAACTTCCCCAAACTTGCAATAGTCATCAGTATAAATGTTCTACTATTCAAATATGTTAATGTTGTTAAGTGCCGTCGAGTTACAGGCGACTCATAGCCACCCTATGAAGGAGAGTCCTCAACGCTTGTGTGTCTTTCATCCTCTCTCCAGGTTCATAGGGTTTCCAGAGGCAAGCTATTACGGAAGTGGATGCCACTCCAAATATGAGCAAAGGAAAATATGAGCTGAAAAATGGCTCTCCAATCAAATATATAGCCATACTTTCTAAGAGTGCCCCAAATTTTGTCAGTGTTTTGGTAGTTGTAGTGTAATAGAATATCTTTTAAGACATGTACAATTTTGTATCATCAACTGGAATTTTTTAAAAATGGAAAAGAAAATAAATGTTTTCAGGAAGTATGAAAGTATCACAACTGTTTTCTTAAAATCCTTAATTCCTATTAAAGATTAAGATAATTTTTAACAATTGTATACAATGGCAATTGAATGACCCAATAAGTGGAGCAATATCCACTGTCTACAGTCTTTAGAGTGCCGGGGTTAGGGGTGGAGAAGACTGTCAGTGATAACCCTGAAAGCCCTCTGTATAGATCTAAAGGGCAGAAGGATGAAGTAACCATACTGTTAACCCACCTTTCAAATGAATTTCAGAGGAGCTTATTCTGCTGCCCCATGTGAGTGCATGCTCATCAGTAACTTGTAACTTCTGGCATTTGTTGGAAGGCTGTAAAGCAACATTCTCTTTGCATCTAGCAAGAAATATTCTGCCCTCAGCTTTGCAAAAGGCAGACCAGAGCAAAGGGCAGAGGGACAGTAGAACTGATACAGTGGGAGCCACACATTTGACAACAAACTAACTGCCCCCATTTCTTAGCAGTATTAAATGGTTAGCCTTTTTCCTCCAAAGTCTTTAATTATCAGATGGAAAGGAAATGGCAGCAATTGAAAAAAGCTTAGCACTATTTGAGATGCTGAATTAATAAGGTCAGGGAAATTAGTCAGCTTTTAGGGTCAGAGTTAAAAAAATATGGAAGATGAGAATAATTTGAATAAAGGACAAGCTAAAGACAATAAGAATGGTAAATTATTCCATAGATCTAGATGGAAAGTAGTTCTTTTACCATTTCCTTAATTTTGTGTTCAAAGGAGTATGTATAGATGCCTACAATGATCTGTTAAAAGATAATATGTGTAGCTTTTAAAAGACCTAATTTACACAGCTTTCCAGTACCTTCTAATATTACTCAAATATGAGCCAATAGAAAGTAAAAATGGCCAGGCTTTGGAGAAAGAAATGAAATCGTGTGATGAATTAATACTATACGTGGATCTTTAAATCCTATTGCTATGTTTCTGTTAAATTCTTTTTAGTGGGTTCAGTGATGCTGCAATTTAAAATGCTTACTTACCTTAAACAGCATATACATGGGATGACAAGATTTCCATATATTCTTATTATTAACATATATTAGCATTGTGTCAGTTGTTTACAATTGTATACAATACTGCTTTGTCAATTATAAATAGCAGCACTGGTTTCACATAGATTCTAATATAGCATCTTTTGCTTGTACAGATATATTGTCACATCTTGATTTCTGTAGTGATTATGCTATAGGTTAGGGCCTGGAATATTGATAATGAGATGAACTGACATCTTCCAGAGCTGTTCAAGTTCTATACTGCACAGAACTGTCCACAGAGAACTGCTGGAAGGTCATGGTAAGTTGCTTAAGTGATTATTATTTACATCCCAATTCCATGATGGTTTGTGTACCTCTGGTCGGTATGTGTAACTTACTTCTGACTATTCAGTGTTTTCTGGCAAATAATCCACTGGGAGAATGATGAATTTCCCATTCTTCCAGAATATCCTCCAGCACCAGTATCAGCAGGAAGAACTTCTGTTCAACTAGATGGTAACACAAGAGGAGTGGGTTGGCTGTAAGATTTCTCTGGAGAAGTATTTATTGAGAAAGTAGAAATATAAGTTCTCTTGGGAGGATTAATTTGAGCCCCATGGCTAAAGTGTGGGGATACAGTGGTGCTTGCTGTCGGCAGTAAGGTTGTGTTTTGAAGAATTTTCATGGTAAACGTGGATAACTGTAGGATAGTGGATATAATATCCCATGATCTTCTCCATCTAGCTGAAATGGATATCTTCCATAACTTGGAGGCTGGGCTTTAAAAGTAAAATGGTTTGGTACATTTTGATGGACTGGAACTTGGCTCAGCATGCTTTCTTGGATTATTAGCATAAACAAAATTCCTTGGGCTATGGACCTCTCTAGGGCCTCTTCAATAAGTGCTCCATTTTCATTTTCTGCTCCAGGTACATTATCATACTGGGAGGTGTTGGAGCCATGTTTCCCATCATCAGCATTCAAAACCTACGCTTTTATTTTTTATTGAGTGAGGTTTTCTTTTTTAAAATGTACCTGTTCATGCATCTTGACCATCAGCTGTAGCATCGCCACCCTTGGTGTTTCTGGTGTAAAGTACTTGAGCTTGTGTTTTGCAACGTGCTTGATAAGTCCTTTACTTAGCAGCTGCTGACAGACCACCCTGGCCAGGGAACCCCAAATCTTCAGCCACTCTGAGACAGCAGTCAGTATTGTAAGCTTTAAGTTTGGGAACTTCTTTATAGAGTTTGTCATACGTGGCTTTGTCAAACAAGACGAGGTTATTGAGTTTGTCCTGGACTTTGCCTTTTGACTACTTCTTCTTGGCCTTGCCCCCAGGTTTGTTCACTGGGTATTTGTCCTTCTTGGCTGACTTTCTAGTGTCTTACTTGTCATCTTTGGGCAGCATCATGAAAGTCAGAGAGGAGACCAAAAAGTGCAGACTTATTAAGATGTAGGACAAAAACCAACACCTTCATCTTTTGCTGTACATTTGATATTTTTTTTATTGTTTAGAGGTTTATTGTGAATTATTAACAGGTCTGTATATAGGACTCTGTACTTTAAACATAAACTTCAGTGTAACTGATGAAATAAGGAAGAAGGGAAATTCAATTCGTTGTGATTTGGAGGTTGCACCTGTCCCTTAAAATATGAGTGCTCATATATCAGATCTGGTCTTGGCTTTACTTTTCTTTCAGAGAAATTTTCCAATAAAAAAAATATGATCTCTGCTTTAGGAAAAATTACTGGAAATCAATTGAGTATCAGCAAAACTTGGGATGGTGTGTGGAATCTGCCAATCTGCCTTTGCCTTCAATGGCATGTTTGGCAGTTTTTTCAACAGCTGATATATCAGAAGATTTGTCCCACCTAGGCATAATTTTTTTTTTAATTTTTGAAGTAGTATTACTATTTTGATTGGCAATTGCATTGGTATATTGCTTGGAATTGTGTTGGGGAATTGTGATGCTGATTTCCCTTGAAAAATCTACCTCAGGCTTGAGCTTTTTATTATCCTTATCTCTGGGTTTCTGCCTTGGCTGTCTTACTCTTTTTGGTGTACCAATTCTACTTATATACTGTGAGGAATGCTCATATTTCCTGTGGGAAGATATACTGCTATCTCTCTTGCTACCTGTATGAGACCTTGGCTTGCTAGCACTTCTTTGTCCATTGTTTATATGATAAATGCCAGCAGAATGAGATTCAGGTGGAAGTTGTGCCAAAGGTCTCTTGGGGTATGACTCTGGAAGATCTAATTTCTTTCATTTTAGTTCTACTATAGAAATTTGAAGTTCCTGTATCATAAAATCATCTTTTTAAAAAAAATTCTTTGCCAGGGTTTTCTGAAGAAATTATAAATTTCTTCCATGGATAATCTCATTACATGGGGTTTTTTTTTGTTGTT